TGAGCACGCGACTCTTGAGCTTACGTTAAAAAAAAAAAAGAAAAACAAAAAGAGATACTTGCCTCTAGACTTCAGTTCGGAGAGGGGGGAAACCTTGTAAACAACACACTTGAGCTCTCTTTATTGAGCAATTACAGGTAAGTAGAAACTCATCAGGCTTCCAATTTTTTGGTAAACTTTTTTTTTTTTTTTTAAAGTAAGCTCTACGCCCAAGGTGTGGGGCTTGAACTCGAGACTCGGAGAGCAAAAGATCAAGAGCCGCATGCTCTAGGGACTGAGCCAGAAAGGCACCCCGCTAAACTTATTGTTTAAGATAGTAACTTAACATCTGAAAAGCATACATCTTTACATAGCACTCTCAGGGCCATTAAACATTTCTTAAAACTATAAATTCTCTAAAGCCAATTACGAGTTAACTTTACACATTTCTTAACCACGTTCCACCAACTTCTAGGTCTTTTTCGGTCTCAAGCACCTATGCAGATCTGACCTTTCCTCTTAGAAAGTTTAAGCCATAAGGAAATGCTAAAACAAACGTTTGCTCGTTTCCACGGCACTACCATGCCCTAAGCCCTGAATTTTGGAGGCCCACAACACATTCCTTCCCGAAACGTTTACGCAAAACTTTTAAACCAGAAACTTTAAAATCTGGGCGTAAATTCGGCTAAGCTCCCCTTGCCTATCTGCAGCCTTAAGTACACGCCACCAGGCTCTATACCACAAGAGTAGAGAGGAGCAGAACCAAAGCCGCCCGCGAAGCAGATGCTTAGTCACCGGCATGGACGGCTAGCTAGGTGCCAAATGTGGGCTTAACTTTCCACTAAGAGAATCGGAAAATTCAGTTCTTTCTCGTGACACGGCTTCCAAAAGGAAATGAATGTTCTTTGAAACATTCACTGCTACCGACGCTAGTCAGTGAGGTCTGGGAGAAGCCCAGTACACCTACCCACACGGCAAAGAAGGAAGTCCAGCATTTGTGTGTGGCAGCCTCCGCCAAAGAAGACCGGAAGGAAACGCCAGCGCCTTCCTTTGCGCAAGCGCAGGCAGACCTCTCCCATTGGTCATCTCGGCTCGAAGTTGGAGTGCACATGCGCCCCGCCGTCCTGCCAGCTGGGTTGGATTGACGCGGCGCTGCGCTCCAGTGTTTATCCGCGGACTGCAGCCCACCCGGGCCGCAATTCATGATGCCTGCACAGGTTTTTGTTTTGTTTTGACTTCCTGAAATCGTTTGTTTAAGCGGTGATTCATTCATGCTCAAGTACCGAAAGTCTGTCTGACTGGTAGGCTAGCTCAGTGTTCTAAATGTTTCGGAGTTGGGGGAGGGGCGGTGAAAAAATACTTTTTGTAGATCACCCACGCCCCTCGTCACTTTGCACGGCTTTATACGTTCACAAAATACCCAAAACATACCTCACTTGCCGACAGCGCATTGGACCCTTCTAGTATTATTTCTCAAGTATTTGTTTACGAAGGAGGAAGCAAGGAAAAAAGGGAAGTGATCCAAGCCGTGCTGCTGAGTCGTTGTACAGGGTAGTTTAAAGACAGCCCAGAAACTAATCACTAAAAGACCGTTTATTTTTGAGTCTGATGTTTTTATCTTCATTTTGCTGGGCAGAAAGTCAGAATATTGGGCTGCCTGGTTCAGGGCCGGACGCTTACCTAACCTACTGACTTGGAGCTTCAGAACCATGGCGACAAAGGAGGCAGGAGATGCTAAAGTAGAGTCGAGCCTCCCCTTATCAGCCAATCGGAGCAAGCAAATGTCTGAAAAACCAAACTATGCTCTTAAATTTACTCTCGTGGGGCATATGGATGCAGTATCATCGGTTAAGTTTAGTCCTAATGGAGAATGGCTAGCAAGTTCTTCTGCTGACAAAGTAATTATAATTTGGGGAGCCTATGATGGAAAGTATGAGAAAACACTTTATGGTCACAATCTGGAAATATCAGATGTTGCCTGGTCATCAGATTCCAGTCGCCTTGTTTCTGCCTCAGATGATAAAACGCTAAAGATTTGGGATGTGAGATCTGGAAAATGTTTGAAAACGCTGAAGGGGCATAGTAATTATGTTTTTTGCTGTAATTTCAATCCACCATCCAATCTCATCATTTCAGGATCTTTTGATGAGAGTGTGAAAATATGGGAGGTGAAAACAGGAAAGTGCCTCAAGACTTTGTCTGCTCATTCTGACCCAGTTTCTGCTGTTCATTTTAATTGTAGCGGGTCCTTGATTGTGTCAGGTAGCTATGATGGTGTCTGTAGAATTTGGGATGCTGCATCAGGTCAGTGTTTAAAAACACTTGTTGATGATGATAACTCTCCTATCTCTTTTGTAAAATTTTCTCCAAATGGAAGATACCTTCTGATTGCAACTTTGGACAATACTCTTAAACTGTGGGATTATAGCAGAGGCAGATGCCTGAAAACATACACTGGTCATAAGAATGAGAAATACTGCATATTTGCCAATTTTTCAGTTACTGGTGGAAAATGGATCGTGTCTGGTTCAGAAGATAATCTGGTTTACATTTGGAACCTTCAGACTAAAGAGATTGTACAGAAATTACAAGGTCATACAGATGTTGTAATCTCAGCAGCTTGTCATCCTACAGAAAACATCATTGCATCAGCAGCATTAGGAAATGACAAAACAATTAAACTGTGGAAGAGTAACTACTAAACCCTTTAGAAATCAAGTAGTAGAGCCAAGTTGGCAAAAAAAAAAGCGTATTTAAAAAGATGGTTTCTCTTAATTTTGGTATGGTTTTGTATTTCTTTTCAACTCTGCCTTTCTCTCTCTGACAAATAAATAAAATCTTAAAAAAAAGTGGGGGGGGATGCCTGGGTGGCTCAGTCGGTTAAGTGTCTGCCTTGGGCTCAGGTCATGATCCCAGGCTCCTGGGATCGAGTCCCACATTGGGCTCCTTACCCGGCAGGGAGCCTGCTTGTGCTCGCACTCTCTCTCTCTGACAAATAAATAAATAAAATCTTTAAAAACAAAACAAAAAAACATTGTCTTAGATTATAAGATTTCAGATCTATAACCTAAATTTACAAAGCAAGACAATTGGAAAAGCAAGTCTAGAACCTATGGCTTCTGACTTAATCTTCAGGTCTGGTATTAACTCTTATGTCTATCCCTGAACAGATTATCATTCTGTTCCTCTCAGTGTATTTGAGAAATATTTAGAAGTAAGGTTTACAAGACAGGATGACTGACTAAATGGAGCAGGAGTTTGGAATAACTCCAGTGTTCCTGGTTTGGGAGATCAGATGAATAAGAACATAAGCCTGGGATTAGGTGGAATGGAGATGTATGGCAGATGCCACTCACACATGAAATGGTTCCATGGAATCAAGTCTATAAACTGGGAAAAATAAGTCACAGTTAGGTCTGTTAAACATTTTAAGTTTTTTATGGAGATAAAAACTCAAAGTAAATCAAAACATTATAAATGGCATTTTGTTGAGGGACTTCTCACTATCCTGGTCAGATTGTGCCTCATGATTATCAAGCAAGCTAAATGTCTAAATGGTGAGGCTATTCTCTTTCACTATGTGTCTGACCTAGTAACTCCTACCCATGCTTCAAACTCAGTTCAGAAACCCCCACTTGTGGACCAGCACTGCCTGCCTGACTCCAACCACAACTGACAGCTGAGTTAGGTTTTGTTTCTTTCTATAGCTACTGTTATATAAAGTTCAGAATTTATCTTTTACCAGTTTGTATTGTAACGGTTTCATGGGCCATGTTTCTGTAAGTTATCAGCTCTGTAAAGAAGTATGTTTTATTCATTTTTGTATTCTCAGTATTTATATATATATATAAGGGATTAAGGTAATGTTTGATGAATGACAATGAATTATACCACCACTTTATTCATTCCTTGCCTACTTTCAATAAACGTTTGGAATCATGTCCCCATACTGTTATTACTTTTGTTGATTAAAAAAGTATCTGACCATAGGCTCACATTATTAACTTTATATTCAGACAGGGCTTACAGGAAATATAAAGTAGAAATGGTTTCTGACCACTTTACCTACAGAGACTTGATAAACATGAAAAAAAAAACCTAGAAATTAAGCAAAAAATAGTACAACAATAATTGAAAGTAACAGGGCTAAACTGTCTTATGTTTTTGGTATTCTTTAGTATCTTATAACAGTGCTCATTAAATATGATTTGCTTGACAAGTTCTGAGGAATATAGGGTATTAGAGTTATTAGTAAGATGACTGCCAAAAAGGTATTATGTGAGGGTAGTGGGAGAACTGGGATTAGACAGAGACAATTCTGGCCAAGAAATTTATATTTAACCCATAAAGAGGTAGTTACTCTAAGTAACTGAATAGGAGAATGACACAAAATGAGAAATGATCATGAAAATTCTTGCTGCATGGTAACATTTGTGAGTTTTGGTTTAATGAAACATTTTTTTTTTTTACAATAAATCTCCAAGATAACACTTTATAGTACTTCTTTAGAAGTTAAAAATGATAGTGTTCTATGAAGAAAAATTACTTATTTTTAAAAGAAGTACATTAAAATCAAAGAACTCAGTATCTAAAAAGCTAAGATCAAATTACTCTAAAAGTATATTCACAGACATCATTAACATCAGATAGATTATGAAATTATATGTGGTGCATTCCATTTTAGTTTATTAAATCAAGTTCCAATGCAGCTACATATATTACTTTCTATCTGTTATAATCCTCTGGAGAAAACTAGCAGGTTGGGATGGCTACGAGGACTTGTCGTCCATGTCATCCATTAATATGAGGCATGTGAGAATATATCAAACACTTAAAATAGAAACCAGCATCCATACCTAAATATGAGACGGCTTGGCATCCTGAAGTGTAAATGAAATACGTTATAACCATGTGCAAAAGCTTATCTTTTGAAACCTAGAAGAATGCATTTGAAAGATTTTCATAATTGAGAAATTTAGTGTAAAGGTAAAAGGAAAAGGACCAGTTGGGAATTCTAAGCTATGGAGAAGAGGTGACTACTGGCCCCAAGCAACTTCATGGTGCTGGGATTTCAGAGTTCTCAGAAACTTGTGGCCGGACCACTCTCATCACCTTACAGGGACCTTTTCCAAGACTGCTCTCTGACAAGCCTCTGTCTGCCAGCATGCCCAAAGACGGCAGAGTTTGATGGGGCTGCTTCGCAGGGCTCTCGTGAAGCACCAATGCATTTGGGGAGGTTAGCTCTCCAAGATGCACCTGGGCACTGTACTCAGCTGGTCTTCCTTACCTCTCTAGAAATGAGTACACAAGAGAGAGAAATATAGAACTAGAAGCCATTTTGGCTTCTGCAGAGAAAATCACTTTGGTAATGGAAATTAAAGTAAGATACAGTTTCTGACTCCCTAAAGAAGAGTTAATATTAAAGTTTAAATAAGTTGCCCCATTTTTCATTCATTTTCTCCAAAAAGCTGAAAGGCTGCATTTAACCTGGATCCAAGCCACAAAAATATAGACAAGTCATTTAAGGAAATTTATTTGTCCCACTATGTCAAAAATGGGGGAAATTATAAGTCTGTGCAAACAATACTTTCATGAAATGAATCCTCATACTGTATTCTTTTTAATACAGGCTAATTGCTGCAACATTATTCCTGCAATTTCAAAATCCAGCCAACACGGATACCTCTGCTACTCTGTTTTGGCTTTCAGAGCTGCTGCTTCTCTCAGGCGAGCTTTTTTTTCTAAGTTCAGGCTTGTTAAAGACTCGTTTCTTTTGACAGCCTAGAGTGAAACAAATTTGAACAAGTGATTATTTATGCGGGTTTGGAAAGGATGTCATTACCCTGCACTGATGTCAGCTGATTAACTAGGGCAGCGCAGGCCCAGAATGCTCTGCCGTGGGCACACTGAGCACAGAAGCCCCCTCCGTGTGCCTTCTGCTTCCTCTAAAACTTCACAGTCCAGTAGCCCATCCAGTCAAGCATGAGAGAAATGCCACACCCTCTACCTTCTCTTTCTTTCTGGCCTGTTTCTTTAAATTTAGCTTCTTCCCTTAAAGGTTCTTCCTTTCTCTTTTCCTTTTTCCTCTCTTTAGTATTGAATACCTACCTTTTTGTTTCCATTTCTATCCTTTTTTTCCTTTTCTTTGTTGCTACCATTTTTCCTTCCCCAACTCATTTGTATACTTTCATACCCTTCTAACTCCTTACTCCTCTTTTACCGAAAATATTCAGCTTTGGGGATCCCAGACTTCACCAAATACTGTGACTGATGACTCTCACTAGTATCTATCCCACTACACCATCCTTTGACAGCAAACAGCAGTGGGGGGGAGACAACCATCCTCTTCCCTTGTTTCCCTCCACGTGCCCTGTTACATGCCCGTGAAGCTTACATAAGCAGACCAGTTTCAAAAGTTCTATACCAAATAAACTAGCACCCTATATATAAGGAGGAATTTTCTTATGTCTGTGTAATTTCACATGTAACGAATTAGGTATGGGAAGGGAGAGGAGAAGAGGAATGGTAAGTTGATGGTGAGGACAAAATACGACAGCTAATTTCTCTCTTCCAAATAGCAGTAAGTCTAAAAATTCTTCATTCTAGTAGCATTTACCATCTGTAAGAAATGGATAGTTCTACGTAAAACAAATGAGATGGTTTTCTGGCACATAAAGGAGAGAAACTCTCTTGAAGCACATGGTGTATACCCTTAGATGAGGCTAGAAGAAATCCCAAGGGGTAACTTGTTTCTAGAGTATTCAGACTCAGCTTAGTATAATCAAGTATACAAAAGCAATGCAGACTTCTTGGAATTCTGGAAGCCCCTATGTCCTGTCCACATGCTTCTGTAGGTTTCAATCTGAGAACTAAGCATGAGAAGTCAAAGAGGAAACCAGAAGAAAATCTGAAGTGGGGTAGAAAGAGATGTCAAAAGAACTTCACTCAGTCCTGCACACTTGTCCTTCATGCTCCCATAAGGTCCGTCTAAATGGTCAGTATTTTCCAGCCAGAAGTTCATTTCCTTTTACTCTGCACTCACTGGGGATAAGGGAAGTCAGTTACTGCTGAGTTGGTAGAAGAACCTTTTTAATATCTGATAATAGATATAAGACATCCCTTTGTACATGGAAGCTGCGATATATAAAATTAGACATGGTATTAAAATAAGTGTTTGACCAGTGCTGCTGCATATTAAAAAAAACCCCTGTATTTTAATCACAAGATAGTATTATATGAGTTTGGGAACTTGCAAACTTGGCTCTAAATTTTTATCCTGCCACTTACTAGGTATGTGACTTTGGGAAAATGATTTAGTATCTCTAAGCTTCAGGTTCCTCTTTTATAAAGTACAGATAATAAGAGAACCTACTGCTTAGGTTCTTAGGATATTGTGGTGAGTTTAACAGTGCCTGCTATATAATGAGCCCTTAATAAGTGGGATTATTATTATAAGTGGGATTAAAATAATTTTACTATCACCTCAGTTAGGTCTAGGTTCAAACTCTGGCTCTGCCATTTAGGAGATGTGTGACCTTGGGCAAAGTAGCAGAGCTTTCTAAGCTATGTTTCCTCATCTATAAATGAGGTCCTAATAATAGTACCTATTTTATCATGCTATTGTGAGGTTCAAATGAAAGAAAATCTAAGTGCTTAGAAGACAGTGAGTATTCAATTAATGATAGCTATTAATGATGATGCAGGTTAAAACAAATATTTCTGGCCTTAACTGCCTATGTACTTGTTTAGGAGCTATTGTCCTTACACATATGGCCCAGTGTGGCTGAGCTTCAAATCCAGAAGAGTGACTAGAATGCTTACCAGGGCTAAGGCAGTTGGAGCGTGGATAAATATGCCCATGTACTGGAAGTGCTTTACAGACATGCCGGTGTCGTCATTAAATACACCAGGGACATTTTTCTGGTTTCACATTATTTATGACATCTGTGATAACTAAATAATTTTTTTTTACTTTATGCAAAACTAATTTAGTCCTTTACCTTGCCAAAATTAGGATTTGCTATTTATCCCCAGGCATGACATCCCAGATTTGTCCCTGCTGTGTCTCATTTTGTTTCTTATCATTTCTCATGTAGAAAGTAGCCCCCTCTTCTCAAGAGAATAAATATGAGGGTGAACCCCTAATTTCCTTTAGATCCTTTGTAGAAAACAGAGACAGAGAGGCAGTCCATGCTCACCTTCTTGCCCTCAATAACCATCCAGATGCATCCTGCCACTGTCAGGGCAATCATTGCATAGCTGACCTTCACCCGGATCTTGTTCTTTGCAGCATCAAGCATCTCAAACCTAGAAACACAATGAGATTATGAGAGAAAGTTAACTTTTCTCTTTCTGAAGTGGCCAGTAGGAAATAAAACTCTGTGTACCACAAATCAGAAGTGGAGTGGTACCACAAATAGAAAAAAAAAAAAAAAAAGATGTAGGGCCTGGAAATCTTGTAGGATTTTGGGGAAGATGAGGCATTTTCACAACTCACTTTAAACTAATTAAAATAACATCCAGTAAGATAGCACAAACTTAAAAGTAAGAAAAAGAGAAGAAAGCATGAAGACAGAAAGTGGATCCAGGAACAAAGGGGGGAAAAAAGGCAAGGTGTATTAATCTATGCTTGCTATGGTGGTCCCCAATTTTGGCTTTCAAGTTTCACATTAGCAGCCAATGCTAAAAGTGAAAATAGGAGCTGTTTCTTCCTGGGGTTCTTAAGATGTTATATGATCCATTGATTGTCTAACAATATCCTGACAACAGATACTCCAATGAGCTTCATGAGTTTCGTGCATTTCAACACAAATCACCATTCAGAAAACAAATGTGGGAGAAAGTTAAACAATATGCTCTTTATACCCAAGTTTTTGCTCTCTGCCTTGAACCAGGAATAGACTTAATAATCTAAATCTAATACTTAGATTTAGAACCAGGAATAGATTCCAGAGATTATCTGAAACAGCAGAAAGATCCTTTAAACAATGCTCCCTTAATGTTTACCTTTTAACTAATGTTTTGCTGAAACTGCATGACAGTGAACTTGAGACTGTGCTCTTTGGCAAGTACCTCTTTGAACCTGTCCACTGAATACAGACCTATGTGCCTTAACAGATAATTGAGGGTTGGATTATCATTCTTTTGTGAAAGCTAAGAGGCCTACCAAGGAAGAGTCTAAAGAGAAGGCCACTGCACCTTTGTGATTCTGTATGTAGGCAGTGAGTTGCGGTTGTTACGTGAGTCTAGTATATCCTCAGGGCAAGGCATGAAGAGTCCAAATGGACCCTTGACAGAGCACTGGCCTATTCAGTAGGGGTGTAAATAGGAAGTGATTATCTCTAGATGATGAGATGAAAGTGCTAACTTCCGTCTTTCCTTTCTTTTTTTCCCCAGATTTTTAACACACATTACTTTTGAAATCAAGAGGAAAAAAGTACTTTAAAAATGCTTGGAAGGAGATACAGGGTCCAGGCATTGCAGGTGGTAGGAGAAGCCTGAAAGCACAGACATTGTGATGTAAGAGCTGGGACCCAGTGAAGCAGCAATGTGAATGGAGTTCTCCAGGCACTGAAGCTGGGCCTGCAGGGTAGTGAGAGGAACCAGGGACAATTGCTAAGAACAATGAATTGCTCTATTAAGAGCATCTGAGAGCCCACCAACCACAAACTAACTACCCATGTTGACAATATTTTATGTGAACTGGCATGTCCAACTAAAGTGCTGTGATACTCCTGAAAAGTAATATATTTTACTTTTCATTAGAAGTATTTTACATTTTGGGGCGCCTGAGTGGCTCATTTGGTTAAGCATCCAACTCTTTTTTTTTTTTTTTTTTTTTTTTATTCATGAGAGACAGAAAGAGAGAGAGAGAGAGGCAGAGGGAGAAGCAGGCTCCCAGGGAGCCCGATGTAGGACTTGATCTCAGGACTCTGGGATCATGACCTGAGCTGAAGGCGGACGCCTAACCATCTGAGCGACCCAGGCGCCCAAGCATCCAACTCTTGATTTCGGCTCAGGTCATGATCTCAGGGTCGTGGGATGGAGCCCTGCATCGGGCTCCTCACTGAATGTGGAGCCTGCTTGGGATTCTCTCTCTCCCTCTGCCCCTCCCCCACCCTGCTCTTGTGCCAGTGGTCTCTCTCTCTTAAAAAAAAATTTTTTTTATATATTAAAATTAAAAAAATTATATATATAATGTATTATTATGCATATAATGTATTATTATACATTAAAAGTATTTTATATTAAAAAAGTAAAATGCATTTAAATAAGGTCATGAGGTTGCCCTCCATGCTATAGGAAGCAATTGTAATGGACAAGTTAAGCAGTGCCTGTTCCAAACTACCAGCATATGGATGAACACTTGCCCAGGCTCAGAGCAGAACATTCTAGGGTGACTTGGTAGTAATCTGGGCTTGAGGGGGATCTTGGAACCACCCCCAAGGCAGACTGAGAAAGGTGTTCCATGGTAAAATCTATATAGCACCTATTATGACCATGGGTATGCAGCAGCTTGTTTTCTCCTGGAATATTCAGGAAGAAATTAAGACACACGCAAGAACTTATTATCAGGGCACCTGGGTGGCTCAGGCAGTTAAGCGTCTGCCTTCGGCTCAGGTCATGATCCCAGGGTTCTGGGATCGAGCCCCACATTATGCTCTCTGCTCAGCAGGAAGTGTGCTTCTCCCTCTTGCTCTGCGTCTTCCCCTGCTTGTGCTCTCTATCTCTCTGTCTCAAATGAATAAATAAAATCTCAAAAAAAAAAAAAAAGAACTTAATATCATTGTCATTTCCAGCTTGCTCTTGTTTTCCAGGAGAGTACACTATCACTCTAGCTAAGAAGGACCAGGGCTTTCCTGCTGAAATAATTTTAGTGAAAATAATGTGCTATTTAATTTGATAGGCAGAAGCAGAATGGATGTTAAAGCCCTTGTAAACAAAAAAGCAAATAACACTTCTCTTCCTGGGAAAAGATACCCTGAATGAACTCAGATTGTTTAAAATCATGCCTTGAAACCAGAAGCCAGAAGGTCCAGGAACAGTTTCTCACCAGAAGGGAACGTCTAGGAGCTTTGTCTCAAGTCCCTGTCTCTGAAGAGGATGACGCCCTACAGGGGAGATTGCACCTGCTTCTCAGCATCTCTCTTGGCCAAGATGCAAATCAATCAGGGTCTTTAACATCAGGCTGGAGCAGTGGTCCTCAATCAGGGTTTTTTTGTTTTGTTTTGTTTTTTCTTTTTTGACCCCCCAGGGGACATTTGGCAATGTCTGGAGACCTATTTCACTGAGTGTTACTGGCATCTGGGGGATGAAAAGGCCAAGCAAGGGTGCTGCTGAACATCCTACCATGTACACAACAGCTCCCACCAACAAAGAATTATCTGGCCCAAAATGTTGATAGCACTGGGGTTGAGAAACCCTGGGTTAGAGGAATCTATACTCACCCACAGACTCTGAAAAAGTCCCAAGATCTGAGCCAGGGCTGGGTTTAAGGAAGTTGGTGATAGGGACAGGAAGCATGCTTTTTGGGATCCCAGAAAGAGAATATGTTGCTCTTAAATACTTTTATGCCTATTGTTGAATACTTGAGTGGATTTTGTAGAATATAACTATTAATTATTGTCAATGGTACCTAACTGATATACCCAGATAAAAAATAAGCTAAGAACAGTGAACATCACTCCTTAGTCATATTTCTGTAGCTCGGAGAGGAAATCAATCAGTTGACTTCAGAGTACCCGACAACTCTCCACTAGGCACAACATAACATATCAATGATAAGATACAAGATTTTCCAGCACTGTTTATACTGCAGGTACTTTCCAAAGAGGAAACATTTTGAGAAGTGAAAACTATTCTAAAATTTGGTTGAAAGTTTTTAAATAGTCAGACTCAGAGGAACTGTTTTGTCTTTGAAATCAGCCAGGAAGAAAAAGCTGCTTATAACCCCTATGTTTAGCACTCACGAGACAGTCTCTGGGATTTCATCTTCCTTTTTGAAGCGACCTGACCATACCAGGATCTTCCTCTCCCATTGTGTAGGTTTGTGTAATGGCACTTTGTGGCTGTAAGTGTCTATGAGAAAAACAAGACAAGATACCTTATTTGAGGTTATAACTCTCAAATTTAGCAATTAAAAAAATGCTATTTAGGCTTTTTAGCTATTCATGAAACAGAAACATTGAGAAACCTCAAGCTAATTAGAGCTTTATTTGAATGGAATTTCTTAGGATGCCTCATTTCTCAAACGAGGTTCCAAAATTCCACGGGGACTGAGGTAAAATAAAAGTATTATTTCCTAGCCATTGAAAGTTGAAAGAACACCATGTTAAACAAAGATATAAAGGTTAAGAAGAACTCGGAAGGGAACAATGAGAAGCTTATTTGACTTCAGTAGAAAAAGAAAAAGGTTATAAGGTAAAATAAGATTACAAAAGACCCTGAATGCCAGGCTAAGCTTTTTAAACCTGATTTGGGAATCACTGTACACTTTGAAGCAAGGAAGAAGTTAATGTTTTAGAAGATTAATCTGCATAATAGATGGAAGACAGAAAGAAAGGCTAGGACAGAGTGGGCAACAAGTTCAAATGGGAGGTTGTAATGCAAGAAAGGTGGTGTGGTCTGAACTGGAGTTGTAACGGTGAAAACAAAGACAAAAAAGTCCATCTGAAGATGACCGAAAGATTTTGGAGGCTGATTAAAATAAGACAAGGAAGGAATCAAAGAAGAACCTCAAACTTGAATGAGTAAGACAACAGCAGTACTGTTAACCAAGATAAAGAGACTGTGAAAAGAACCAGTTAGGAAGAGAAAAGGCATGAATGGCATTTTATATAATATCGAGTCTAAATTTATGCCATCTGAATAGGTTTCATTAATGAAGTCAAAGTTGAGATAATCATTGGTGCAAAGGGAGAGCCAGTGAAGGTGATAAAGACCCCAGAGAGGGAACAGGAGAAAGGGGCAGCAGACAAAAATGGAGTGGCCAAAGAGGCAGATGAATAAGAAAGACACACAACAGCAGATGGGAAGGGAAAGTCTTTCAAAAAAAGGAGAAGTCACTAAAGGAGCAGAAAAAGTTAGGGCATCACAGAATGTTAGGGTTAGAAAGGACCCTGGAGATAATTGCATCCAGCTTCCATGTACTGCCTACACCTCTCGCAGCAGACCATCTCCTTCACTGCCGCCTACACGACATACTCCCTCCCGCCCCCACACCGTCCCCTTCGCTGCCGCCTCCACGACATACTGCCACCTCCACACCGTCCCCTTCGCTGCCGCCTCCACGACACACTCCCTCCCACCCCCACACCGTCCCCTTCGCTGCCGCCTCCACGACACACTGCCACCTCCACACCGTCCCCTTCGCTGCCGCCTCCACGACACACTCCC